ATACAGCATTTAATTGATGTTTCCATGAAATGAAGACTTAAGATGACCTTCCTTTCTTTTCAATTTGATATTTTTTTTGCCTTCTTATTACTGTAATTCATTGGGAAACGGTTTTGGTCCGGCTACGTAATATAATATCATCATCAAAGCTTTGTTTGAAAGTAAGATCGCCAAGTCAAATTATTTTCTACCATATCGATATGCAACATCCCTGTTCTTTTAACATTTCCCTATATTGCTCCAACAAAGTACCCTTTTCTTGAAGCATTAATTTCTAGATAGAAGTTCATTTTTAAAGAAAATGCAACATTTCATATATTAATATATTATCATACATTAAGACAGGTAACCGCGTTATTCTTATTTCCAGCAGCGTTCTTGTAATGGAGTGCAAAATCCCTAATCTTCTTACTGGTTGCCATTTTTTATAATATATTTATCTATGAAATACCTATATTTCTGCATTTGTTGTTTGGTAAAGTTGATTATTTTCACACATTCGAGGTTTCTCTTTATAATAGAAGTAAGAAAAAGGATATTTTACGCTATACACTTGCTTATGTAATTATATGATAAGCAGAATTCTACATAGTCGCTTGGAGATACGTATTTCTTCGCCCATGTAATATCCTCTATGTAACACAAAAATATAGAAAAATTTTATAAATGAAAAAATTAAGTTAATCCTGGAATTATATAATGTGATACATGTGTCATAATGCCCTTAATTGCTATATGTTACGTAACATTATCAGGAGGGATTGACAGCTAAGAGCTTAGTCCACTCGTAACTCAAACAAAATTTAAGCTTTAAAAAAGATCTCTAGAAAAAACATATTTTATGCAGTCTGAATACGGATATTATATTTTGAAAATCTATTGTTTTGAATGTATTATAAAATACCTAAATGATTTTTATCACGCGCATTTTAATAACAAAATATGTTGGCAATAGAGATGCATGAGTAGAGCRGATTTCGTATGAGTGGGAAACGGACGGTACTGTATTGTGACCGTAATCGTACTGTAACCAAATTCTAGTGCCCCATTGCTTCACCAAAATTGTGCAGGCTAGGTCCGGTAACTGTGCGGTAACCGTGCGGTAACG